CCCCCTCTCTCTCTCTCTCTCTCTCTCTCTCTCTCTTTCTCTCTCTCTTTACCCCTATTGAGCATTTGCCCGATATGTATATAACGAGCAGGGCGTACATGCCATGGTTAGCCTATAGTCGGTGGTCAGCTCACTCCTCTCTGGTTTATTATGTTATGTGTGTCTTTGTTATAGGGATGGGAGATAAGTATCTCTGTTGGTTTGTCAGACGTACTTAACGTCGGGGAGAGAGAGAGAGAGAGAGAGAGAGAGAGAGAGAGAGAGAGAGAGAGGGGTGGGTGAGAGAGACAGTGAAAGAAAGAGGGAGGGAGACAGATTTACTGACATCTTACCTTCAAGGACATGTCAATGATTTTCTGTTTGAGTTCCTCCGACTTCTTCTCATTATTTGCCTCTCTCTCCTTCTCTTTCAAAAGCTGCTTGATTGTTACATAGGCCCACATCCTCTCTACGATACCGGCGTAGTCTCTGGGTCCAGACAAGACAGATTTCCCCTCCTCCTCCTCAGCTTCGATCACAAAATTCGTCACATCCTCTGTCTCAAAAACCAGGTCAATCTCTCCAGATTTCTTTAATCCCTTGATCTCAGCTTGAAATCGTCCCTCGGGTTTATGGAGAAACCCGCAAATAACAATCTCTGTTCCGTTATATACCACAGGGAAGGTGTCCTCAGTTATCGAGAACTTGTCTACGCTGCTGTTCAGGTAGGTCACAGTCAGATCTTTCATGACTACTGCAGAGACCTCGTTGTACAAAGATGCTACCTGAAGCGCTGCATCTGAGGCTTCATAAATCTTCCTCGCAAACCCAGAGTTCTGAGCGCTAATGGTCTTCAGGGCCTCAAAATCAGCACCAGATCCAAAGGCCAAACTGAGGATGGCGCAATCTTTTGAGTTGGCTCCTCTGACATTGCGTGCGATTTGCATTGAGTCCCGGACTCCTTCTGTGGGCTGACCGTCCGTGAGAAAGAAGACCAATGACGCTCGTCCGCTCTCTTCGACGCGGGCAAATTCTTGGACAGCTGTTGTCAGAGCCTTATCGATGTTAGTCACTGGAAGAGAAAGAACAATGGAACAAAGTTACATTACAATTCAATGTAAATTTACTTCATAACTATAAGCAAAATTGCTACATAATTTAATCCAGTAAAATTTCCCTGTTGGGTGCAACCTCTTATTGGCAAGACTGAAGGCAACGTTGATAAGAATAAAAACAACAATTAATACTGACAGCATAGACAAAAACAAGTCTTATTTATAACTTATACAGTCGTCAGTCTTAAGTGAGTGGGTTGTCAGTTTAAAAGGAAGGGTGAAGTGGAGTGATGAGGGTTTTGCGGTTGAATTGGTGATTTAATAAAACTTTATTTTTTCAGTTTTCATTAAGATTTGTCTTTTCAGGGGAAATAAGCACCCCAATAACAGTCCCCATATTTCTTCATTATTACTGCCCTTATTTATTTTCCTTCCCCTTCCCCTTCCCCTTCCCCCCTTTTTTTCCTATCTTCCGTAGATGTTAATGGGTTGTCCACTTACTTCCATCTGCCCTCATGCTGCCCACAAAGCTCAGAGCCTCAGACATAATGCCCTCGTTCCCAGCAGAGACCAGAGTGGGTTTCCACTTCTTTACCCAGGAGCTGTGGAGGTACAAACAATACACACCAGTTGAGAGTTAAACTGACAGGTCAATGGGTTGATATTAGGTTGATGCGTTTTTTGTGTCCATAAAAAATAACAACAGCTGGAACAACAGCAACGCATGGCAATGACAACATCGATGGCAGCTACATTGACAAGAGCAACAAAGAACAGACTAAGTCATGAATAGGTAAGGTGAAAAGATATTTTTAAAAATCAAACAAAATTTACTTTAATAGATGGTACTACCTGAGAACAAGAGATCCTTAAAATATTTTTAAAAACAATAGTTCTTTGGTGTAAAAGATATGGAGAGGGGATTGGGGAGAGGGGGAGGGTGAAGAGAGAAAACGATAGACAGACAGACAGAAAGACAAAAAGACAGAAAGACAGACAGATAATATGTGAAAAAATATTGCGCAGATAAAAAAAAAATTCTTCTGACTAGGATTCAATTTGACCAGATTTGTATCATATCTTTGTCTTGCGTCTACCTGAAAGTGATGATGTTAAAGCGGTCTTGTTCTTGCAGGTCTCCCAAAATAACCTGCATAGCATTGATCAGCTGACTAATCTTGGTGCCAGACATAGACCCTGACAGATCAAGGACGAAGATGATATCTTTGGGCATTGGAGGCAGGTTGGGTGAGAAGAAATGGACGAAGTAGCCATCAACCACCTGGTTTCGGAGAGAGTAAAAATGGGTGTAAACATATGGCTGGACAGATCTAAGTAGGTCAGATTTGTCTTTTCATTGGATTTTGTTTTGTTTGAGTGTGAGGCTGTTTGTGTGAATCTATGTGTGCGCCTCTCTCTCTCTCTCTCTCTCTCTCTCTCTCTCTCTCTCTCTCTCTCTCTCTCTCTG